GAATAAGAAACCAAATTTTTTTATTTAACTCCTTACAATCAGCTTGAAACATTTGTATGCATTCAACTTGCATGGTTAGTAATTTTCAGGTTCACTAAAGCGGTACCCACCAGGAAAATTTAAATGTCGACTATGGTCTCAGTAGAAATGGAATACAATTATCAAAACTTATTTATTATGCTTTTAAATTAACAATCTATTTGACGCATTCTTCCACAAATCCTAGTGATACAAAAATGTTTCCAGAGCAAATGAAAAGTCTTCAAAAAACTCTTAATCTCCGTGAATGTAATGAACTGAATTGAATTACGACACAATATGTCTCATTAATATTAAGTGAAACAACCTACTTTGCATAAACGACAATAATATTAATGACATTCAGACACTTAAATATAAGAATGAACAATTGAACCCTACCAAGAAAAACGTTTACTTGTGTTATTTTAATATATCTCAACTAGAATGAATGAGTTGAAAAGCTTCAAATGTCATTTTAAACAAGAAAATAAACGCCTTATTAGAAAAAAAACCCCAAAAATTCCCAGAAACTAATGATGATCCGGAACATTCTGCATATATTAATGCACTGTTGGCGAGTAAACAGCAAACATACTTCCTACACTATCTATTTAAACATTTATCTAAAAATCTATGATAATTATGTAAATCTATATATGAATGAATAGATTAGATTAGATTTTCTAGTTTCAACTGATCCGTTGTGTATATTCAAATGAAATATTGAAATTTTTCAATGCATCTACTCTAATTGCATTTCATTGAAAGTTAATACAATTAATTAGATGATTAAAAATATAAAAACAAACAGACAGAAGGAATGTATATTTTTTATCATTTCTTTACTAGAAAATTTATGAAAGAAAATATTTTTCTATCAGTTTACATTGTGTTGTTGTTTGTTGATATGAAACAATGACACATAAAAGAAGGAACAATTTATTTGAATTTGTTGTTTAATTCGAAAAAAAAATTTAATTAATTTAAGCGGGACATTCAATTAACATAAACAAAAAGAAATACAGAGAAAGAAATCTGAAAATTACAAATTCTAATGAATATACAAATTATATTCATAACTCGTAACTTATAGATATATGTATATATATATATATAAATATATATATATATAATTTTTGTTTAATTAGATTTCCTTTTAGTTGAATTAGTGTCTTCTGGAAGTTTTATCTTGTTTTTCTTAGAATTTATAAACATATAAACACGATAAGTGTGTTTTCGGCAAGACGGGAATTTAATACATTCAGAAAATTCCCTTTTCATTGGAATAATCAAAGATGGCTTTAACTCTGTTATGTATTTTCTCCTACATATGAAAGTATGAACTAAAAAGAGATAAACAAATTGATTGTAATAGATTGCTTTAAAAATAAGTATAGTCTTCGGATATTTTAATCAGAGTTGTATATTCCTAGTAGTGGTAACCAGAACGAACTTTATTTCTATTTGCAAGTGGTCAAATGAACGTAACTTCACTTAATATCGATGTGCACACCTGGTCTCAAACCAGTACCCTTCTCTGCATTTACGCAACGTGTTTTTCATTCCCTAATGACTATTACTCAGCTCAAACAAGTCAAAACAATTCGGCGATCCCAATTATCTTCATAGTCGTTGTCTGTAATCAAAATATTTGGCTAAAATGAAATTACGTTTAGGAATTGTCATACGTAAAGTCATTCAATAGTACAATGTCTAGGAGCATCCCTTTAAAATAGTTTTACCGATCCTATCATATTTACTAAAAATTTTTATTTGGAACATTTGCTAAAAATTCATGTGGATTATAATTGTATGTTTTGTACTGTTGTCTGAAATTATTATCTTTCAAACACCGGAAGTAAAGTGAATTTGCTTAAACTTACTGAACCATTCCTCAATAAATAAAAAAATTATAAGCGTCAAATATACATCAAGTTATATTTTATTATATACATGAGACATTTGTTTAAATTTATCAAAAGTTAAAAATGAAATAAAAATTCTTTCTTATTGCCTCGGGTAGTCGACTAAATGACAATATTCCTGATTCAGTCACTATAATAATTACTGAATAACTCCACTTATTCGGACGTATAAGCGATAAAAGAGTAGATAAGTGACAGCCGAATCATGAAACAGAGACTTTTTCTATTTAAAAGACACTCATAGTAGTAGACATTTCATCTGATTCACTTTTATAGAACAGTACTTTTACATCTATAATTTCTTGTCTTTTGGTGTACCCAATCTAATTAACTTGTGCACTTGCCATCACTAGCGTGAAATCAACAGTGTCAACTTATGATTGTCTTCTGTGACATTACAACCTATAGGTTAATTCATAAACGATTAAAACAGATAGACTTCAACATAAAACAAAAATCGTGGTGTAACGTACTTTTGAAATCTAGTATAATTTACATTGAGTTCAGAGCACTAATCTATATCTTTAATTCTTGATTTAACCTAGATAGTAAACAAGTAGCTCAAATTTAGATATTTATTGAAATCAGATAAAATTCTGTGGAACAATTATAAGCTTTAACTAATGCATTGTAAGATTCTTACTGAATCCTTAACTTTTCAATACACTACACATTAAGAAATCATAAATGGATCTCTGTAAAGAGTGAAATAGATTTTTGAAAATAATAAAAGCCACTAGATTACTACTAAGCTGTATAATAACTCCAATTATTACCATGAAATATCTGTTAACGTTGACTGGGAAATATTAATAGATTAGTCAAGTCTACTGATTTAGCAAATAAATAAAACGACAATTTACATAAACTTTCTATATTTTGACTGAGAAGTTATGATCGCTGTACAATTTAAAATAAGTAAATCCAATTTCGGAATATTGATTTTTAATTTTTTTTCTTCCGTTTATTTCAGTATATTTTACGGACTTCCTGGAAATTGTCTGCATTTTCCTTTCTCTAAACTTTATAAGACACGAAAAAAAGTTTATGAAATCTATTAGATAATAAGTTCAATTTTTTTTTCCTTTGTTTCAACGAATTCATCCATGTCTGCCTTTTCAAATAATGCACGTAGTTCCGCGTTTCTTGTTTTACTCCTTATTTTTTTCATTGTCTAATTTCTTGTCAACCTTTCGAGGAACAATACATGTTAACTTTTCGTGTATTTCAATTGTTTGTTTACATACTTGTGTGTGCATTACATGGACATGTATGTTAATCAACTGTAATCGAGCTTTAATCTACTACAATGCATGATAAATGTATAAGCAAAGAGAAAACGTTTAGAAATAGATTTTAGGCATAGATCACTGCGAAAAGAAAGTGAACCTTAATTACAAAAACTACAAGCGAGAAAGTATTTTTCATAAAGAACCAAGTTTAAACCATGCAATCCAATTTATTACCATATATGCATGCACTTTTTGATAAAATATGATAAAATAACCTTGTGCACACGAAGTTTGTTAGAAAGTAACTGATTATTCCTGGAGTTACATCCAAGAAAATCACACAATGAACATCATTTATTCATGAATTGTAGCGTTAATAGCATTATATGAACAGAATAATCCTGTGATCTTATACACAATTATTATTATTAGTTGACGAAGGAAAACAACATTATTCATCTGAGTGATATGCAAATGATGTATCAAATATAAGATCTGTGACGAGGTTGTCTTATAATTCTAAAGCTTACACTTTGAAATTGATAAAATTCTCATATTTTCTTACATAACACAGAAATACTTGTCATTCTGAGTAGAGTTAGTCGTATAGATAAAGGAGATATTAGGGGGTGTAAGAAGGATTTGAATGTAACCAATTTGGTCTCGTGTGCTGTTACCGGCATGAGCGCGGTTGTCACTTCCCGGCTGCCCACACCGTGGAAGGTTGTTTCTTGAGGGACCTGAAAAGGAAGGTAGAGTAGTGTTGGTCATCACGACCTGGGAGCGTGACCGCAGAGTCCAAGAGACAACTGCTTGAGGCCGGTCACGCACGGCCTTTTAATGAAAGATTTTTTGAGTATTAGCTCCGTTCTTAAAAGCCCTTAGTGGGCCCCCTTACCACCGGAGACGAAAATCCGTGAGGGAGGGTGAGGTGTGTCATTTTTAGGGTCGACCTTTCCTAACCCTTCCTTCCTTGTTAGAAGGCAGCATCGCTGCAGATGCTGGTTGTCCGAGGGAAACGCCTTACTGCTGTCACACCTCTGCAATCAGCAGTACGTCTTCGCCCTCAGACCTTGAGTAGCTGCTTTTAGTCCCATCGTTCTCCAATCGACCTGCCTGGCATGGTAGAACCTTTAGGAACATATGTTCTAGCCAGTATAACTCGGTTGGATCATCAAGATAGGCAAGCCCGACCACCATGTCAAGGTAGCAGCTACGGTCGGGTCATGATCTTGTCATCATCCTTCACACTTAATAACATTAATCTTTACCATCTAAGAGCATGAAGGTGGTTTTTTATTTCATAATGACTTGGTGATGGTATTAGCTTCATTTATTAGGTATAATATTCAGATTGTAGTTGATGGTCACCACACGAACTGGCTGTTTAATTAAAAAACCAGTCGAGAACGAAAGAAAAATAATTGTTATTACATACCGCTTACAATTCCTGGCAAATATCTGTTTTGCAACATATGAATGTTCAGATTGACTAAGTCACTTTATCATAATGTCCTGTGACATGAATAGAAAGCATTAATTATAGTTACATTCACGTTGACTTAACTCAATCACTCATCATTTATACAGTCAAATCAGGCATCTTGGGGCACGTTTTGAAGAATTAGTCGCTTTTCGGATGATGGCAACTTGTTCAACCACCGGTTATATATGTATATAGTACGGTAATTTTTTAAAATAATTCCAGTTTATTGTATCTAGCAACATGATTTAAATGTGAGGAATAATTTAAAACTAGATTAATGTAACGATATTTAAAAAATAAACATGTTTCTTTTGAATATTTGAACTTTAATTGAAGATACTGAGATATGGAACGAGGAGCTACTTTTAAAAGAAAACTTCATAAATGGATCACCTAACCTGTGTCAAAATGGTAGACATCAATCACCGATTAATATTATGACCAAAAATCTTGTATATGATCATTCATTAGCTCCAATGGATATAGAAGGACTGGAAAAGCAAGTAAATTATTTATGATGATAACATTTTATAATTCAATGAACTCAATTTATTAATATGATTTCTGAAAAACTGTTTAGTCACATTACCTATTTAATCTTCACTCGTGCTAGATTACCAAGACTTCGATTAAGGTATCCCGTTTGCCAATAGCATAATACAAGCTAAGTTGATATAGAAAGATAACCAAGTGGCTAAGATTGATTTTCACCACATATCATTTTACGTGATCTGTTTTATCTACTTTTTACTAGCATACGCACAAGTAATTTCACATGAAAATTTCATGCAGTTGAGCATAGCATCGATTTTTATAAATATATTAATTTTATTCCAAAAATGATTTGAAATCCAAAACATAAGTTGTAGGGAGCTTTCCTTGGTTAGTGGATAAAATGATTGCCGTGACATTTGACAAGTAAATTCTTGTCATCCGTTAAAATGAGAACGAGATTTAGTGAGTGATTTCATCGCCAGATAGCCTTTGGACAAACGATTTAAACTAAGGCACAGAAGAGAATATTTTACAATTAATATGTCGAGAGTAAATCAAAATGATTGAAATAAGAATAAAACGTACAATACAACCTCTTTGTTGTCTTCTGACTAACAAGTTTAGCCATAGTTATAACAATATAGAAGGTAATTTTTGTTAAAGAGGTTAACTGAATAAAGTATTTTTGTGGCTCGGAATTTCACTCAGATTTGAATGAACAATGAAATATTCTGTATAATAAATCTTACACATAATTTCCGTATGTTATTCTTCGGAGGATCTCGTTTGTGAGATAGCGTTAAGAACAGTTAGACTGACCGAGATCTTTGGTCGAATCTGGGAACTGGACACAATCCCATCTGACTGGTCTCAGTCGCTAATTGTCCCAATCTACAAGAAAGGACAAAAGTCCTCTTGTGACAATCACAGGGGAATAAGTCTAACTAATATAGTTTCTAAATTGTTAGCCTCGATGATCCTTAGACGCCTAATTAGAGCTCGTGAAGAGCAGACTCCAGAAAACCAGTCTGGTTTCAGACCTGGGAGTGGATGTATAGACCACATCTTCACACTACGACAGGTCCTGTAAAACAGACATACATTTAAGCTTCCTATAATAGTTGTGTTCCTGGACCTTAAGGCGGCATTTGACTCTGTGGATCGTGAGGTTCTGTGGCAGTGTCTATCATTGAAAGGTGTACCAAAGAAGTACATTTACCTTATACAGGCACTCTACTCAAACACCACTGGTCGAGTGAGAGCTTATGGCAAAATGTCATCGGAATTCTTTACTTCAAGTGGTGTCCATCAGGGCTGTCCACTCTCTCCATTCTTGTTTAACTTTGTCGTAGACATCCTCTTAGAGTTAACATTAAGCTCGTCAGATTTTTCAGGGGTTGACCTTCTACCAGGAAAATCGCTTACTGATCTAGAATATGCCGATGACATAGTTATATTTGGTGAAGACGCTGACAAAATGCAGAGTCTTCTGACTACCATAAGCAACAATGCAAGCATGTTCGGGATGCGGTTTTCCCCGTCGAAATGCAAAATTTTACTTCAAGACTGGGTTGCATCGGCATCTGAACTAGTGATAGGGAGTGAAGTAGTCGAGCGTGTTGATCACTTTACTTATCTGAGGAGTCTCATCAGCGCTGATTGCCTGGTGACTGACGAAATCTCAGCTCGGATACAGAAAGCTCTACTTGCTTTTGCCAACTTGCGTCACTTATGGCGTAGGCGAGATATCCGTTTGCTAACCAAAGGACGAGTGTACTGTGCAGCAGTTCGCTCCATTCTCCTATATGAATGCGAAACATGGCCGTTAAGAGTAGAAGATGTTCGTAGGTTACTAGTACTCGATCATAAATGTCTTAGAAGCATTGCTCGTATACTGTGGGACAACCGAGTAAGCAATGCTGTCGTTAGGAAACGAGTACTAGGTAAGGATGGCAAATCAATAGATGAAGTGGTGAAACTTCATCAGTTGAGGTGGTTGGCACATATGTTACGAATGCTCAACCACCGACTGTCTCGACGAGCCATGTTTTGTGGTGTAGGAGTAGGTTGGAAGAAAGCTAGGGGCGGCCAGACCAAAACATGGCAGAAATCCATGAAGTCACTGACTAGTGGACTGAGTCATGTTGGTAGATGTAGGCTACCTGGTTGGGGTCCGCGAGACGAAAGTCACCAATGGTTAGAGACTTTAAACGACATGGCTCGAAATCGTTTGCAATGGCGCAAGTGCATCTATTCGTTATGCTTTCTCAAATCCTAATCTTCTGGATTCGTCAGCACCTCTACCTTTGTCTTTCTAACCTCATCTCACTGAATTATACATCTTGAATAATATCTTCGAACCCTAGTCTTCTTCATTACCATTAATACCTCTACTATCTCTGTCACTATGGGATTCGATTTAACATTTGTGTCTCTGTGCTAATGTGGTATGGCAACCTGAACTTATGGACATACATACGAAGTTCTACGTTGAAACTGACTGACTGACTGACTTGTTAATAAGAAGCCAAACAGTGATTCAGTCAAATAAGTTTATTTCATGCAATCGTTTATGCAGACAGACATGAAAATAAAAAGCAGGGAAGCGAAAAGAAGTAAGGAATGCAGGTAAGCCAACTCACTCTGACGTGGCAGGACTAGGTGTTGATAGTCAGACAAAAATAAGCTAGACATGTGGTAAGTGAAGTAGGAGTTGTCAACACATATATACACTCAGGTAAAACCAACCAATGTTATAAGCGAATAATATACAAGTTCAAAAGACGTGTGAATAGTAACCCGGTGAGAAGAGGTTCATCAGTTTGTTCAAAAGCTAGGATAAGCCATATAGGCCTGATATATCAGCATACATCACAATGTAACATAGAACCAGTCTACCGGATATCAACCTACTGAAATGTCACAGCTGAAAATTCGTTTATCTAACAACCAAAACAGAAAAAAATTTTCCATTACAATTGTTTGTTGGGCAAAAATATTACATACTTTATCAAATACAATCCGTCAAATACAATTTTTACGTCACGCTCACATTTCTCATCCTATTAGTTATTTTCATTATGACAAGTGTTTACTCATAGAATTTACATTCAATGTTACACAAATGGCAGAATAATTACTCTATTATCTATTCTATTTTTTTCTATAGTTAATATAATGAAACAGAATTCAACATGCATAACTATCAAAACAATTTTATATCATAATCCCATGAAAACTATTATTTATTCCTATTCCGTTACTCATAAACCTCGATAAACTTACAGTTAGTTTATTTGTAATGAAATTTTATTGGATGAGAAATTATATTCATTGTCAATATATAAAAGTGCTGTGTATGTTCTTGTCTCATTTAATTAAATTACTAAGACAATACATGTTCTCTGACTAGGCAACATGTTAGTTTAATTGAAAGATAAGATTTGAAATCTTTTTTACTCAAAATGAATGGAACGATAAGAAAATATGTGATAATAGAGAAGTCTAAATCTTGAACCAATATTTATTGAAGGATGGGTAACTTAAATAATTGATTTGTCAAATGGTTTATGACATCAGTCATATAATATTTACTTTTATGTCCTGTATATAAACAGATTACGTTATCAGATGTAAAAGCCTACTCTATTGGACATATGCTGTTGTCATATGACATCATTTGAGCTAAGGAGTTAGTTACATTAATAATTCAGTTTAGTGCAAACGCCACATGGTATTACTTATTGCATGTGCGTTTCCTACATTTAATTTAACAATCTTTGAAGACCATTTCCGTTCAAATCAATAAAAGTTGTAAGCATCCATATTTTGATCATCTGAAACACCACAAGTGACAAACGTCTTTTGATTTGTTTGTTCTCAGTGTATTTACCAAGTTAATTTTCATTTTAAAAAATTTTGGTATGGCTTTAACGGATAACTAAACATCCATTTTCATGAGAATTTAGGAAAAATTCCAAGAAACACTATCATTTTACCACTTAAGTTATATCATTTATAAACTTTGCACATACTAACTGATAAATGTTTTGTTTTAATTAGTATATTTTTTTAAAAAAATATATTTTTCCGTTGATAAGCTTGAATTGATCGTTGAAAATTGTGGTTATGATATACGAATAAGCTTAACTAATGAATTTGTACAACTCAATGGTGGTCCATCGTCTTATGCTTATCGTATTGCTTTTATGCAAATTAAATTTGGCTCAGCATCAACTCAAGGATCAGAGCATACAATCGATGGTAAAGCATTTCCAGGTGAAGTAAGTAAAACAATAATTTATCAGAATTAGTGAAATATTATGTTATAATTACCAAACTGTATTCTATAATAAATCATTTACTCAATTCATTTTATTAAGCTGATTTTAAGATTAACTATAGTTTTATAGATATATTCTTTCATGTTATACCCTACGTTACACTTAAAGACGAATATTTTGTCCTGTAGAGTTTTAATTATTTTATTTAACTAGAAATGTTGTCTTATCGTTATGAGTCGAATATATATTATTTATAAATAACAGTCATTAACGCAAAAGTTAATTCATCAAAACCGCACTGTAGGTTATTCTCTTCGAGGAAGCCTCTCTCTTTCTGTGTTAAGTTCAACTATACCACTACATATAATCGCATAATCATTAATGCAAAAACTATAGTACACCGAAAGGTAGAGAGAACAAATAAAAGCCTTTTGAGTTTTAAAACCTCAGTCAGTCTGTCAGTTACAACTTAGAACTTCGTACGCAAGTACATTAGTTCAGGTTGCCATACCACATTAGGACAGAGACGCAATCGTCAATTTAAATCCGATTGTAGTAGAGATAGTAGAAGTATTAGCAAGATATTATTCAAGAAGTATGATTCAGTTAGATAAGTCTGCTAGCCGTTACTAGTTAGATGTGAATGTAAATCTTATGGAGCTTGTATCCAGTGATACGGCTCGTATCTTTAACTCTCAAATTATTGCCATTCATTTCTAAGTAACTCGAAACTGAGCTGCTGTATATTAAGTCTGGTTATTAAAGCTAATCGACAAAAAACTCTGAACCTTGGTTTTTTTTTCGTTGTGTACCATCCAAAAAATTTATCTGCAATATTGTGAAGACTAAAAAACTACATTAGTGTTGGGGACGTTAGATCCCCAGAAATCACTTAGGAAGGGTCCTAACTTTGGAGTTTTGTGTTTTTGCGCATAAGCTGCTCAGTTAACCTCAAGATTACATTTCCCAGTCGGAAAATCCTTCACTGTCATTAGTTGATGTATTATTTTAGAACGCGATTTTTGTGGCTCTCCTAAGGACGTTTCTACCATGTATAAATAAGCTCGATTTGTGTGCTGGTTGACTTTATATTTTCTCCGTGCTTGTAGAATACACTTTTCTAGGCCTTATCAAAACTTCTTGGGCCGGCAACAACAGATTAGAATAGCCTATTGTGTCGCTGCGTCATTTGTCTTTGCCCTCGTCTAACGACTAAGGCGAACTCGTTATAGTTTCAAGAATATCAATCGATGAGCATATTAATTAGAGAGAATGTTACTAAAGACAGATGCTCAAGTTATTCGTAAATTTTCTATATTTATTTATGAGTAATAAGTCTACTGAGACAGAAAACAATTTAATTTTTGTACTGAACAAATTTTACGTTTCACAAAGAGCTCACCATCGTGCCTATTATAAGTGTTTAAAAACTCAAATCTATAAACTTTAAACATGCTCTGTTCTTAACTTAGTAACTTATACTGATGCACTGTTTAGAGAGAAATTATTAAAACTATCATCTTAACAAACAGAATTAATCTAAGATTACTTAAAAGGTATTACTAAATTAAATTTCCTCTTAACAAAATGCTGTTGGCTTTGGTTACTTTATTTGATGATTTTACAATACCACGAATATACTACTCAAAAGACCTGTGAATTATATGCAAGTAAATGTACAAAAATACTGCCGATCAGTCTCTTCCAGTTATTTTACAAGTTTTATAGACAAATGCTTCTTTTCTGAACTTATTCACAAAATTACTAGCCAGATAAAAAGTCAAAGATAATGAAACGGACTTAAAACTTCTAGTGTAATGAAAAAAAGAACGATATTTACTAGCTAAAACTGAATGACATAATAGCAGACAGCCATTCTGAGGCTTAACAGATTTACAGTTAATACCCTCGATCAAAAGCGCTGCACAATATTCACCTGATGATGTCGAATTTATCAGATGTCCCTCATACAATTCCTTTGCATAGAGAGTACTACACATCAATGATTGACGTATTAATATAGCGTTTCAATCAACTGTATTTCTAGTAAGATCAGCTTATTGATTTTCGTACTGTTAAATAGACATAAGCAGAAAAATTTAATCCAACTTTTTAATTAAAAAGGATGAAAATAAGGATCAGGCAAAATTAGGCTTAACAAAAAGACCTATTGGTTTCAGTAAAATAAAATCAATCTATTTAACTACGTTAAGTTCATGTCAACTATATAAAAGCTATGATACTACTTTAACATCTAAATCATAAACAAGTAGAGATATAACTTAAACTACGAACGAATTAATCAGGACCTAAGTAAACAAGCAGCATTTAGATGTAATAACAACCAAATAATTTCAAGTAGGGCTTGGATTTTTTTTCGTAAGAATATTTTCCTCATAATCGACAGGATAAATAATGCTAAGAAACCTGAAATCAGATTTTGATTGGTTATCTAATATAAATACACAAGTTGATAATAGTGAAGAACTAACGTAGTCAAAGAATGAGGAATAAAACCAAGTGGATTGAACATAAATTTCAATATCAAATTTTTAAAACCAGTGGAAAGGTGATGTTGTAACATAATCATAAATCTTTAGAGTTCTGTTAATGATTACAGAAATTAGATCAGACTATTTTGTTACTTGTTTTATCACTCTATGAAGGGTGTAGAAATCATGCACGGGTATAATAGAATTCTAGTCCAGCTCAAGAATGAACATAAATATACCTGTGACTGAATCATTACTACTAATAGTTCAGTTTAAATATCATCTCAAATCATGAGAATTTTCTTCTTCTTCGACTGTGATATGATTTTAAACTGAGGCATCAATCATATGTTATCACTAATTTAGATTCATATTGAGAGTAATGATTAAATTAAATTATTATATTGTCTTGTTTATCATTGAATTAAAATTTATTTTTTTAGAAACATTATTATCAATAATTTTCATTAAAACTGTTAGTTTTTTTCCAAAATTATTCATTTACTTACTTCTCATTATAATGACGGAAATGAATAGCAATACACCGATAATAATTGTTCAACTGATTGTTAAAATCAACTCTCATCTTCTTCACTACATTCAACCACTGTCATCATCCCGACTATTACAGTACAACTAACTATTTTTTTATTTCAAATTTAACCATACTTTACCAGTTTTCAACTAGACTACAATAAAAAAAGAGAGAAAAACATTCCACTTCATTTTATCTGAAAATTGAATTGAATTAAATTTTTGCCTGAAAGAAAAAAACTGCATTTCTGTGTGAAGTGAAAACTAAAAATTATTTAACAAATTATTTTTCCGTTAATTTTGTCTAAATCTATATCAGCTTTTTGACTTGATATCCATTTGACAAAGAAAAAAAGAACAAATAAAGGAACTGACAGACCAGAAAAAATTGATCAAGTTTTTTTAGTATTGAAAGACTCAGCGATACAAGGTTGGCATATTAGTTATGAATTTGTATCCAAGCACTAGAAAAAGGATGAATGAACACAAAGAGAAAATTCAACGAGAAAAATTTATGTGGTAAATAATATTTAGTGATTTTACTTAAAGATATACTGAGCGATAGTTAAATACCAGAAATTCAACTACTGAATTGTGAAATTGAAATTCTATGTCATTTTTTCTGATTTCCACCTATCACATAGCTATACAACAATCTTCACATAAATACAAATCACAAATGACTGACTTTAAATTAACTTAGTATACGTTAATAATCATAAATATATGTGATAGAAATGAGAATTTTCAATGTATTCTGTAATATGTCGTTTATCTATCTTGTGAATAATATGTAACCAATTTTTGAAAAAAATATACATATAACAGTCAAATCACATCAAAATCATTTACAATTATTATCAGATAATAGATTAATAATATCGAAATTTCATTCAAAAAAAAAACTAGATTCATTGTTGACGGGATATTATATATTACATGATTTCAAATTTTGTTTTTGCCAATCTAATCTGTTATTATTTGTCTCATATGTATATATGGCTTGTTTCACAGTTACAGATTTATTCATTTAATAATGAATTATACAACAATTTATCTGAAGCATCTTATCGTCCAAATGGTATTCTTGCTGTCAGTGTTTTCTTTAAAGTAAGTTTATAAATGAAATACTTTGAGTGAAGTTTACAAATTGTAGCCTAAAATAAACATTATATATATATATATATATATATATATATATATATATTTCAAATCTCATATAAATGTCATTTCATTGTCAGATAAATATTTATCTATAGATAATGTGAATAATAAGAAGTAGCTGAGTCATTGAAGCATTTATAATAAGAAATTTTGTTTACTCAATTCGATTGACAAAGTAAATTTATCGATAATTCAAAAAAAACGGAGGTTTACACGTATTTCAGTTGTTCTTCATTCTAGTCATTCTGATAGTTAGTTGAATGAAATAATAAAATAAAAATCATTCATTAAACCACAATGTTCATTTAGTACACACACCATTTATGATCTGTAATGTAACTAGAATTTCGAATCCCTTATGATGGAATTTGTTTATTCTGGCTACAAAAAACAACCTTAATAATGAAGATTTCGTTTCTTAAATATCTTTCAATGGTAATAACAGATTACCTACTTGTATAACATACTAGACAGATTCTCTATAATGTATATGTTATGCTCTTCTGTTGATATGCTTGAAACTATTACGAGTTCACCTAAGTCGGTAAACGAGAGTGAAGGCAAATGATGCAGTGAGACGATAGGCTATTCTGATTCGACAGCCTCCGACCCTGCGAACGATATCAAAAGTCTTCATATGGAGTAGAAAGTGTATTTTACAAGCACACAGAAGATATGAGGTCCTCAAGCACATAAATCGAGTTTATTTATACATGATAGAAACGCCCTTGGGAGAGCAACAAAAATAGTGTACTAAAATAATCCATCAACCAATGACAGTGAAGGATTTTCCGATTAGGAAATGTAATCTCAAGGTCAACTAATCAGCCCATGAATAAAATCCGAAATTAGGACCTACCTATATCAAGTGAGCACAGGGGATCTAACGTCCCCAACAGTATATTCCAATGTCTTGAATTTTAATTATGTAATTTTTAAACAAGTGACAGCTCAGAAAAATTTCAGCGTTAAAATATGTCTAGTGTCAAACTATTTCCTATGCCTTTCAAGATGATGATGGTTTCATGAATAAAATTAATCGACTTCGCTAGATTACAATGAATAAACTTTTATCTGAGTATAATAACTTGATAAAAATCCCCAGCTCATCACTCATGATAATCTTATAAATACGTTTTCTTCAAATCAGTTTTACTGAGAGCTTAAACAATACTACACTTTATTAAACAATATCTTTTCCAATTTACAGCTTGGAAATGCAACGAATAAAGATCTTTTAGGAGTTGTGGCTGCAGCTGAACAAACAATATTTAAAGGTAATTAGTTACACATCTATTAATTTATGGTCATCATACTTATTTATCAATGGAACAGGTTTTTATCTGGATAACCATTCACCAAATAATAAGGACTTTGTTAGCCTAAGCCTAGTTAACTATCTGATGTATATTTGTATAAACACATCACCAGTATTTAAATATATCGTAATAAATTTTACACCATTGATCGATTCATGGTTTCAAAAATGTGTAACTTAACAATCTTCACAACCCCGTAATGCAAATTACCTGTGCTTACTAGTGACTAGCTTCGTGAAGAATCTTCTCCGAGTTCTAGTGGGAAGACGTGAACTGTGAAGTTCAACCTGTTCGAGTGTAGACAGTAACTACCGAAGACTGTGTATGAGGTTGCACAACTCCGTGAATTCGATCAAGTTAGACATTAACACCGTTCGATACCGGCTCAGTGGTTTAACGGTTAGGGCGTTCGCCTACAATACCGAAGGTCCTGGGTTCTAGTCCCTCTGGGTGCAGGAGTCGTGGATGCGCACTGCTGATGAGTCCCATACCAGGACAAAATGGCCGTCCAGTGCTCCCAGGTTTCTAATGGTGGTCTAACATTGATCGATTCATGATTTCAAAAATGTGTAACTTAACAATCTTCACAACCCCGTGATGCAACTTTATTAGTATGTGAGTGCTTCTCATACTACTATATTAGTTATACTAGCCACGTTGCTACTCATTACAAACAGAATGCACTTCTTCAAAATAAACTGTTTACTACTTAACTTCATCAATATTATCACAGTTATGGAGAGACAAGCAATGCAACTAATTATTCGATAACAGTAATGGTTAATAATTAAAAAATTCACGACTACAAACGATCAGTCTCATTTTTAAGTAAAGTGAGATTGTGAATAGCAGTAAATTTGGAATTAGTTTAACCTTCCTGCATTCTAGTCGTAATGTTCGCAGCTAATATGAATGCTGAGCTTTCCATGCAAGTTTTTACAAGCTGCAAAATACGCGCTTTTCGTTTAATCATTTTAGTGTTTTGAATCTGATGAATTCATTCAAAAGTTTCAAAGTTTCTCATTGAAGCAAGATATGTGTTGAATAATATAAGTGAATATAAATAGCAGGAGACATGTTTCTCAGTACAGTGCAATTCCTAGTAATTTGTAAATTGAATTTCATTCGAAATTAAATTATAACTCTTAATGTGAAATGCCAAACCCTTTTAGTCCATTTGTATTTTGTGTTAAACGTAAACGGCCTTAAAACAAAATCGTAAGGCTGAAACTAATTCAGAAGAAAATACAAGACTTTGAATAAAAAAAGAGTTACAAATAGAGTTCCTGTGTTTATATATTTATCAGAAAGTACTTAGGAGAAAGCCTAAGTACCACTCGTATGCGTGTAACACATGAGAGACAGATTGCGATATCAAACACAGTTATGAGTTTCTCTCTATGTGCATATCAAGGGATGCACGGGTTAAAAACTTTTGTTTCTAGTGTGCATAGTATTCATAAGTGACCTCCCAGATAAGTGTGCCTTTGGGATAATAACTCATATTTTTCTGATATAAATGTAAAGTACACTTGCTTCTGGTGCAAAGCTCGCGCGCTAAGATACTCAGGGTAACGGTTCACCACATAAACACGTCCATGCTATGAGTTCATGTGCGTCGAAATAATTATCTTCCCAGAAACGCCACTTGTCGTCTCTACATAAGGTTTTGCCAACCTCTCTGGTTCGAACACCACACCGTTGAACAGAAACATTCCAAGCAAATTTAAGTTAAAATAATTAGTACGTAACTTTAATATCCACTCTTTTCTTCTGTCATGTGAGTTAAATTACTGGTTTATTTATATTGGTAATAAAATTATCCACTTCGACTACTAAACCAAGTACTATTTTAGCTAACTTTAATAAAACTCCTTTAGGTAACTCATAAGGCTTCAGGTTGTTTTAAAAAAATGTATTCTTATACCGAAACTGAAGCTATGCATACACAGCGATTTTACCAAAGACGTTATAGATCAAACTGTTTGACAGTAACAGTCCAACAATTTCTTAATAATAACAATAATAATATTCAGCTGCTTCAATAGGGAACAACCTTCAAGAATTGTTATCAATTGATAGTCCTTCTCGAAATTCATATTCTTAATCAACATAAATATAATTTAATGAATTTAATAAACCAGGTCAAAATGTAAATAAAATTATCACAACTCATCTAGATTGTAATCGCCATTATTCAAATAGTCATTTTTGATTTGATTATCGTCCAAACAAGTATTACAGTTCAATAAACTAATGAATAAGTTTAAAGTATCTGTTTTTTTCGCATTAAAATATGCCTGTGAAATTTATTTTGAATGGTTGACAGTTGTTTTCTCTAATCGTTTTTATGATATTAATCGACTTCATAATGCGTGAATGGTCATAGTTAACCTTCTTTTTATACACAAGTGATTGGCTTAATAAGAAGTTGATGATGATAATGATGATAAAGTATAAATGTTTGAACTAAAGAATACCTTGAAGATAATCATCGAGTATATAGTTTAATGAATTAGACAATTTATAACAGGAATAAATGAATTCATAAATTTCACTCTTTGATAATCCTAATTTAATAAATTTTCACTTATTAGGTGTGTTTAAAGCATGGTTTGGTTATCACGGTTAGAAGTTTTCTACTACAAGTTAAAAAGAAAATTCCCAATATCTTTCTCACAGAAAAACTTATTAGAACGTTATTTATCAACTACACTTTAGCCATTTTTCCCTAAACGAAGAAACGTAATTGATAGAAACAGTTTTTTTTAAATAAGGTATTATTAAAGATGAAGTTTGTAGAGTTTCCAGTATTTTAATGGCGCTATTTACCAATTAAAGAACAATCCAAACTAGAATGGAGTTTGATTGATAAGAATCATTCATTTGGTCAAAAACGCTTTTCAAAAAATCTTTTTTACACCCGCTAATATTCAGTAACATAAATCCTATCATTTGAAACAAACTTACTTTGTGCAAGAGCCTAATATTCATCATTCTCAACAGTGTTATATACATATTTTTAAACATTACTGGTCATAATACCTACTTCTTCTCAATTTTTGAAGTTCACTATTTATCAAACAAATTTTATGTTTCTGTTGCTGTAAAATTGAATGCTTAATTGCCTAGCTCATAGTTTCATTTGAAACCTGTTGTTTTCATTTAACGTTTTAGTTTTATAGAATGATCGGAATTCATCAGAATTACGTATTATGATACAGTTAAATTCTTAATAGTGAATTTTAATTGAAACCAAGCACTTGATTTAACCAGATGATTCATTGATATAAAAAACTCATTTGTTGTGGCTAAAAATTTGGTCTACCACTAAACTAAGCGATCTCATGATTAGATGTAGAAAATTGGTGTAAGTTAAAGATTTGCAAGATTGTTTAAAATCAGTGACATATAAACTTTGGGATAGTGTTTGATTTGATGAGTTAATTCAACATTGCTTCATTTTATCTTGCTTCTACAAGTCGAAATCTCTGTTCAATTTTTTAAAACGAATAATTACTATGTTAAATGCCATCATTCCTTTATGATAGTTCTTCAACACTATTCTTTTTTAAAAATGATTTTACAGGGGAAACATTCCAACTGAAAGGTCTTGAACTACGTTCACTGCTAACGTCAACACATGAATTTATGACATATGAAGGATCACTGCCATTTCCTCCATGTCATGAAACAGTTACCTGGATCATACTGAATCATCCTATAACGATTACTGAAACAGAAGTAAGTTCCTGAAATAATTCCTAATCATCATCAAAAGAAATCCACATACTTTTTCTAGTCATTTTAATAAATATATTAAATCGGTTGAAACATGAACTGCAGAATTAAATGGGATTATATCATAAGAAGATTTCTCCTTAACTACAAACAATTCATTATGTACTATTTTCTCTGATTGTTTCAACTTTCATAAGTAAATAATCTGTCGGGTTGCACAAGGATAAAATATTTATTTTCTGGTAATCATAAACACGTTTTCCCGACTAATATAAAAAACATTTTAACTAATACACTAAAAATTCAAAGTTTCTTAGAAATTTTTTTCAACTTTATTCAAAGTCTTTCTTTACTGACTTGTATGTTAATTACTATCATTGTATAGTCTGATCTTTATATTTAACTGAATTTTATCAACCAAATATGCAGTGAATCCATTAATCAAGGATTCTCGACATCACAATATACTTCATCAACCTAAGGATCATATACATAGCCACTAGGATGATTAAGGTATTTAATCCGGTTTTACTGAAAGTCAGTTACGATTTGGATGATATGGTCTTAATGTTTCCATGCTATTGAGGAATGCTAGCTAGGAATAAGAATTTCAAACCACCGCTTGCAAACATCCACTGAAACTAACGATGCCTAGAATTATTCTTTTATAACTCGAGATAGTGATAAGTGGTAAGCACCACTTTTGATGTACAAGCTCAAAAGAACTAACCCGATGCATATCGATTAAAATTGTGAGCTCTATCCAACTCTTTGACAGTTAAAGCATCAAAATGATTCTCTCAATGCAACACACGGTCAATTTGAAATTTAACTCAGCCGCTTTACATTATAAATGAGCAGGTTGCTGGCTAAATTAGGAATACAACATTTATAAAGTAAACGTCTTTTTCTATATTTTATATTAAATGATAAATGTAGACTTAAGAATTAAACCTTTAGATAATGAAAACATTCATGATGTTTCTTTTTTCAAAATGAACACAAAACGAACAATATTAACTTCTTTAAAATTTCCTTAGTTTACTGATAGTAGAAATTACATTAATATTTAAATTATTTTTAAACTTTGAGTAGATTATCTTATAGGAGAAAAAAGATCATCATTCATTTTTCCATCCACTCAAACAAACTAATTTCTGCCGACGAAACTCTGTTCATGGTTTTGTCAAAAGCGAATGCCCCATTTACGTTTGATAATTTTTTTCCTACTTAATATCGACCAGCTACATTCTTATGTATATGTCATGCAAACTGACGATATACGCTAAATAGCGATTTTTTTCAACTTCATAATTTTGTAGCTGAAGTAATTTCTACCGAATTATTAAAATAAATAATTGTAAAATGGTATGTAATATTAGTGAATACATTATGAGAAACTTCTAAAATATTGGCGAAATTGAATAAAACACTAAGAAGAAAGTGGCATAAAATCATTTCCCATAAATAAATTTACTTTTATGAGTTTGATAGGACACATTTGTGCACTTTCAAAAGCAATGGAACATCTATGTAGGAATGACTGCCATTAATATACAATAAGTTAGAGTTTTGTTTGTGTGAGGTTGAAAGAATGAACATGACAGGAACTAAAGGAAAAATAAATGAAGATAATTGTTAGTCAAAGCACAAAATGTTGGCAAACTTTAAACAGGAAATTAGTCGAATTTATGAATGAGTAACTAAAGGATGTTGAGCATCGAATCAATCTTCTTATATTCTCAGCAAAATTTTCACTTTCAAACTATTTTCAAACAAGATTGTTAGAAAACAGTTTAACTTAGTGGAAATCACAAAGAAGTGCTAAGTGTATTTTAAAATCTCGAAATATAAATAAGATTAACTCTTGCTACCATTCAAACCAAAATATTCATAGAAGCATTAAAATTCATTTATTTCATTAAGCGTGTAACTATTATATATTGTTATATAAAGCAACTTAGCGAAGAGACGATTTGTTGTAAGATTTGGTTGAAGCTTTCACAAAACTAGAAACCTTAAGGTGGCGGCTGCCTTAAAAGAAGGAACTGAATTTATTATATTTTTGAAGCCTATAGTAAATAAATAATCTAGTTCTACTCACTAAAAGTCATCTTTAGCAAGCTTAACTATCTGGATTACCTGTTGTTTCAACAGTCTTAATGAAACTTCCATTCTACTCATCCGTAAGTTGCTTCAACAAACCTATAAATCAATAAATTTGCACCAGATAATAACTTGCTTTTTATGATAAGTTGCTAACTTCTTATTATGGCAAAAACAGAAATGATTCAGAAGAATCACCTGAAAAGAAAAAAAGTTTATAAAAGGAATGTTTCTGTAGATCCCTGTTGAGAAAACTGGGTTATCTTCAGTTTCTTTCATTATATGTCGAAAGTTGGCTTTAAATTGACTACAGAAACGCAAAACAATAATCTGAAAATTCCAAATTGACTTCTTCAAAGATCCTCCTTCTTCAGGATCACCATGAAAAAGAGCAACGACTGTGGTGTTATCTTTCTTGTTTAATTTTAATAATTGTTTTATTTTTGTTCGCGTTCAACATTTTGATTATTTTACTAATTTTCCGATAGAAATTTTTTCATTGATACATACAAAGGCACTTTATATAGATTTCAAGTTATTTATAATCAGTATGTAAGAACAGGGGATCTTATTACTCTAGCTCTATTCAGTCTTGTTACGGTTTGAATTTTATTAACCTCAGTACAAAATTTACTATTATTATTATCATTATTATTATTATTATTATTATTATTATTATTATTATTATTGAAGTAAGAATGAGTGAAACTCGTTTCTTTTGAGATCAGATCATTTATGTAATAAGTGATTTTCCCTAGTGTATGCGAGAAAAAAAACTAACCAAATATAAGATATTTTATCAGTAAAAGGAAAACCCAACAAAAATCGTTAAAAAGTTAACATTGCTCTTCCGGATGACTCGCTCTCTTCTGCCAAAATTATTTTTTTTTAGAAAAAGAAGTTAAGCGAATAAAATAGTTCTTTTTCACTATATCTTTACATTCATCATTATGTATCAGAATTGGAAACAAGGTAGAAACCAATAAGATGGTAGTGAGTTAGCATTAGGCATAAATTTGGAATAGTTAATGAAAATGACGATTATCAGATAGATGTTAGGTATTTAGAGGTAGTCAGAAAAATATAAGCTCCCCAGTTACTGGCATTCGTCATCAACTCGTACTTGCAAGAAATTAATATTCTTTAAAGGATTATAACCCTTGTAACTCAACCTCACAGTCTGAGACCCAGTGAACAGAATTCCCTCAGCAATAAAAGATCTGATAAACATGTTATTGGTCACCTCCTAATCAGCAATCGAATATATCCAGCATTCATGAGGTCAGCTGAGACCAGGCGGTAATGCCTCAGATAGTTAATCTGAATGGTACGAGTACCGATCCTACAGAGAATATCATATCCTTCGGATCTGTAGGTTTACCTTGATGGCTTGAGCTAACTAGTATGAAACCTACGTCCATATATTGTGATCACATAATGTAACTTGATCGAAAGAATTTGGTCAGCATCAAAGGACTAGACTGCTTGAAGATCACGCAAATATAATGACTAAATAAGTAAAATATTTAATTTTGATGAACAATTAAATATTTTATATCGTCCATACTTCATTTATGCTCATTTCAAATCGTTTTTAAAATGGATGAACTGCTAGCAAACTCGAATTTTTAATCTCTCTTGAATACTATTAGGTTAAATCACCTCAAAACGAAGTTAATTAACATCCGAAATATGAAAGAAAACTAATTAAATTGCGTTAGCTCATGTAACATTGATAATGTCACAAAAATTCTAACACGCATTATATACACGTTGATGTACATTTCTCACCTAGTTCTTTTTCTTGTTTAATAATATTGTGCAATATACAATGAATATTAAGTTAAACAGAAAATTTTGTTTTGGCACCACATAATTCTACGATCCAACAATTTTCGTACACTATTTATATTTCCTTATTATCCTTCATCTAATATCTGCCAGGACTTTGAGAAAAACCCTGCTTGTATTACATAAAATCGTAAAGGAAGTCAGCAAGATTATCAAAGTACTTTTCATTAGCTTTCTAGACAAGTTGACTGGAGAGCATTTATGGGCATATAAACGACTCTAATTATAGCTGCTCATCTTTCGACGATCTGCCTATGCTATGAACCGTATTTGTTTTAAAAGTTACCCAACGAAAAATAATCTAATGTAAATCTTGATGTAAAATGTCACCAACTACCGGAGCATTAATGTGGAAGATATTTGAGATATATTGATTCGCTTAGTCATCAAAAAACAACTTGGCAATTCACAGTCCATGTAACTCTTAACTGATTAATGACATTTTTAGATCAAAATGAATATCTTTCAGTAATATTTGTCTGCAAAAGATTTTTCAGCACTCAGGATTTATAAAGCTGACTTAATACTTAACCCATAGTTGATTTTGACAACATATTTATAGCACTTCGTATCACTACTTAGATACTTCAATGTTTGCTTTAATAAATTCAAACATTTTAAGTTAAAAACCATCAGTGTAAAAATCTCCTCCTATCTAAGAAAAAAAGTATGTTTAATACAACTGTTAGCCCATTATCAAAAGAGGTTGGAAAATCCCAATAATAAAATTACCTATCAATACGATTGTTCAACTTCAGAAAACGCCAGACCATCGAAAAGGAAGAATTCTTCACTGAAACATCTTCACACCTCTTGAAACTATATTCTTTGAAACAGTCAGCAATCTAACATTATTTATTAAATTATAAATATTAAAAGTGTATTAAAATTTGTTTTATTAAAATAAACTTATTAAACCTGACTAAGATATATTTTAAATAAATTGTGATTATTTTATTTACTTCAAAATCTTTCTAGAATAGTAAATTAAAGAAATATTTCAGTTGTTTTTTTGTAAATAAACTTTGTTTGACCAGGGAACGCTTTTAATCTATTTCTGTATACACTGACAAAGAATTATGAATTACGCACTAAGTTTTACCATTGAAATTCTACTTAAACTTTCAAAAGAAAACGTAATACTTGTTTAAAAACAAGAAACGACATCGAATTTTTTTAAAAAATCACTGTAAAAATAGCAATGTCACATTAAATAACCACTAACACCTCTTAGTTTTGTTTCATTTTGTTTCGAAAAAGAAAACACTTGACAAAAGGCAATTATTCTTACAAGCTCAACTTCTACCATAAATACTACTACTTATCACCAACCTTGTTATTTTTAATAACAAATGACTATCCACTTCCTTTCTTTAAGTCATACACTTATTATAACTTAATAAGAGGATTAATTATAAGTGAGAGACTATTTCTCTCTAGGTATATGTAAAATTTTATAAGTGTTGGATGGTTTTTTTTCTAATTTTCATATAGGAGAAAAAGTTTTCCACTCGTACATGTCAATTTAATCATTGTTAATGATTATTATTATATATTTATCTTTTTTTCTTTGAAGAGAATAGTTTGTTCAACCACGATTAAATTTACCTTTTACTCATAAATGTTCCTTTTAAACGATCAAGAAACCTCAAACTAAATTTACCAATTTTACACTATTGAAAACCTCAACGAAACATTTGACGAAGAAGGGTACACATCAGGTTAAATCATAAAATATTTGTGTTTTTATTTAATTTCTCAAAACAAAAAACTGTTCATTCGCAATCATTTCCTTTCTGTGATTTCCTTTTTTCATTCTTAAAAAAGAAAAATGATTCTTCTGTTTTTATGCATTCAGTATAACAAAAGGCATACATTATTTATTCACTTATTTGACGATTCTTAATCAAATGATTGGCTAGAGATGTAGATAAAAGCAGAATAGGAAATACCAAAAAAAGCTAATTCAGACGTTCTTTCAAGAAAAAAAAACAAATTTCGTCAGTTTCTGTCTAACTAGGATTATCTTGTGAGTTAGTTTCGGTTGAATTAGTTTTCATCTGTTAACAACTATCAAACCACATGACATGTTTTACATTTCCAAGAGGATTTTAGTTTTTTTCAATTATGTAAGTATATTTTGTTATTTAACTTCAATAAATGCCAAGAAACTGATCAAAGCCTTCTTTGTTCAACCTATTCAACCAACTAAATCAAGCGAATTATGCCTTGATGTCAATTAATTTGACTTCGAATTGATTTAACATTAAAAACAAAACAACATAAGGTCATTCATTATTCAACATTAACTGTTATCAGTTTGTTTTAATGGTTTCTTAAATGCTTACGGTTTGTTTTTAAGAAAAGCTTTCTAAGAAATGACTGTAACTACGATATTAGCTTGATATCGCCTATTTTGGATAGACCATAATCAGATGGAAGATGTTACGTGTATATTGTTTATCTAATTATAAGAAGTAATCATTGGCCTTATAATATTTTAGTTAACTGCAGTCATGAAAAAGTTTTGTGGATGATAAGACTAATACAAATGTTTACAGCTTTGAAAAATTCACTTAGCCATGAAGTTTCAAACGTAGTACCCAAATCAAAAAAATCTAATCATGATTAACCTCTAGTGTTACACCATTGTACTGACTGTGATCTCCAAATGTTTTAAGCTTTTCATCAACTTTCATATACAATTCATTTAGATAGAGAGAGAAAGTCATTGGTGAAACTAGATAGATTTAATTTATTTTTTGACAGCTCCTGTCTGGACGATCATTCATACTAGTCAACTGTGTCAAAAATATCATTTTCTCTTCATATGTACTTTATTTAACAAATGTCATACAAACAGAGTATCAGCCACTTATCAAAATCATTTGTAATGACAAACAGTGTCATTTGAAAATTACTTGATGTATCTGATTATATTTTCTAATTCAGTTACAACCATATACAACATTTCAAAATGATGACTAACAGACTCAAATCAACTCAATATGATAAAACGGTTTTGACCTTGAGTGATGAAAATGGACAAAAATCGAGTAGTACGGTGGTGTTTATCATTCACTTAGCAGCTTTTAAATTAATCAATATTTATCATGAATAAGTCCAACAAGTGAGCCTCAAACAATAATTCGGTGTGTCCTAGTTTTTTGATGGTTTTCTGATCGACATTAGTCCATGCTGAGAAAAATATACGGAAGAATTAATTACCTTCCATATATTTGATCCCCTACTCTACAAATATTCATCCTGATGAAAAATGTCTGTTATAGTAGATTTTTTGTTCTAGGTGAAATTCTTAAGTAATAGTTTGATTTTTGTCAAACCTTATTATAGTAAATAAATGAATAATTTTTCGGCCAAAAATTAAATAACTTGAAGTTAAAAAGTCTTCCTGAATATTAATACACTTGACTTTTTTCCGCTTTTTTGTACGATTTTTTTCCTGTAGTTAAAAACACTTCGGCGATTGCGAGTAGCTAATACATTATGGTCAGGATCGATGGCTGACAATTTTCGACCAACACAATCTATTAATAACCGATCAGTTCGTACGAATATCAATTTTCGTAGTTCGGTAAGATTTCTTTTTATTTGACAATATTTCATAACCGGCTTGACCAATTCAAACAACAGCTACGAAGTATAATCTTATTCTTGACTGAAATCTCTTAGAGTTTAAAATGAAGGTCCGAAACCATAGCTTATCAGTTTATGACATGACTAACAGTTATGCACCCAGTTGTAGTCGACCGAAATGCAAATGCCGAAATAGTGAGAAAACTATTTCGAAAAGTGTAGAGGCAATTAATAATATACAAAAACATATATATTGGCCACTGTTTAAATTTTTAGTTGTAAGCGTGATCGGGTTTTGGTATCATAATCCCTTATTCTAATAAGTAATCAGTAATTCCAAATACGACGTATATAATCCGAGAATATGTAAATCAAAAACGAATGAGTAATGAGGATACCACTGTGATCTTCAAATGTATACAGCAGCCCTATTAGAGCTCTGTTAAATTGGAAGTGAATTAAATGAGAACGATGAGTATTTGGACAGCAGTGTTTTTATAAGTGATAATCAGTATGTCATGTAGAGGGTTAAATATAATCGACAATTTTCCAGTCAATAACAGTGATTATAAAAATTAAGCGAATTGTGAGAGCGAGTAGCAAAAACTACTCACATAACAGGTCTATGCTAACCGTCTCCATGCGAAACAGAAAGTAATATTCCTCATAGAATGCCAAATTTGTTATACTTTGTATCAGTTGAAGCTGTCGTCATCATTTTTAGAAATATCAAACCTTTCAGCAAAAATTATCGTATGTGTTCAGCTATTTTATGTTTGTTAGTAAGCTCTCAGAATTAACCTGACTTAGTCGACACTGCTTCTCACTAAACACAATCTTTAAGTTAGGACTACTACAATAGCATAACAACTCTGCACTTGACTAGTCAATATAGAATAAATAGGATAATCAATTTATGCATTTAAAATGTAGCCTCTGAAGATATCTGAATTTCACTGAGTGATTAGTAACCTGGATATTTATTTAACTAATAAACAAAATATAATCCTAAATGTTTGTGTATCATAAATGTTTCCTAATTATCAAGAGTTATAAGCACTTGCATACAATGTTGGAAGTGTTCGATTGATGAGATGAACAATGCAATAATTTTCAAGCATTGAATCACAACGGTTTAGAATTTTCCAAAAAATAATAAACATAATCACAGATTCAAGGAATTAAAAGTCCACAGTGTATGTAAACCAAATAGTTTCACTAAATTTGCGTTTTGTAACGATACAAGAACAATCGATTATTTTCAAGTTACTTCTAGGAATATACGTCAGTTAGATATTAGTTGAAGATACGGTCCAGATATTTACTATTTCTTAAGCCATAATTACTATAAAAATGACAAGACAAAGGTCAGTAAGTAATAGTTCTGAGCTTTTTTAGAATTGCATGAAGTGGATAGATCTATGGTTTTTGCTTCTATCAAGCAACCAAAAATGAGTTCAGAAATAATATTTTAAGTAAGAAATATATCATTTTAATGCATAAATCACATCTGAAGGTCATCTTAAAGAGTAAGATTAATCATTAAACTTTTTCACAACTAGACTACTTGTTACTCGGTCTAAAACTTAACATTGCTCATATTGATAAAATTACATGAGGCTGACAAAATATCCCTAAATATACAAGGACTACTCATATATCTGCTGTAATCTGATATTATCTATCTTCGATTCCGTCAGCAGTTTCTTGGAGATCAACTGAACTACCGAAACATTGCAATCAATCCTTCATCTTTTAAATTTATAAGTGAATCACATGCTAATGACTTACAAAAGAATCTAATGATTTATCTTATACTTAATCTTACTTAACTTTTGTAATGAAAAATCAACTTAGCAAAGATTTTTATTCCTTGTTTCTTTTTCACTTAAAAAATGTTAGCAAGTGTTGCCCAGACAACAAATCTTCCTTCTTATCTCATATTCTTAAAGTCTTTTTTTCATTTATACACCGTGTTTAAACTAGATCACATCATTTTTTTTTCCAGAATTTCAAATTAGTGGTTTAATTTAATTGTGTTTTGTCCTGACTACAAGAAAACGATTAATTCATCCCAATATTTTTAATAGTTTAATTATTTTATTTACTTCAATGTCTACGTTTGTTAATTCAACCTGTTATTACTGACCAATTCTATCTAATCTCTGAATCACTAATCTATGTAGATGATTTTCAAAATAGATCACTTTAATTTGAAATTTTTCATTAAATTTTCTTATGTCAAGTATTCTTAATAGCAAATATAATATGAGCGTTGCACTCAAAATATTATATGCTAAATAACACCATCGTGTCAGCTAATAAATTTTAATCATCAAATAAGAATTAGATTTACTGGAAATGTTGAGGAAATACATTACCGGAATTTCTAAACAAATAAATGTAAATAGTTGCAGTGTTCACTACCCATCCGTAATAATATTTTACATTATAGGTACTTTTAGGTTATACATTATAGACCATTACACTTTAACGTGATGAAAGTTAAAGATAACACTAACAGAGGGATTTTCGTTTGTTTTCGTCTTCCCCTACATACATTTATGAATACCTTAGATAGTCAACTAATTATCAATCATGATTTATATACTTAAGTCATCATAACCGAGTTGGGTAGCATCATAAATCTTCAAAAATAAAATCCCTCCCAGTAAAATAATGTATTCGAGCACATTGGACCTTTATATTTACTGAATCGATGTTACAATTGTTCTCCTTCTGTTAATACAAGGCTATGGATCGGTGATTTCATCATTATTGAAATCATGAACCGACAACCATTAAAAACCTGGAGCACTTCATAGCCGTTTTGTCCTCAGAAGTGCACACCCAAATCAAATCCATGACCAACTTTTTACGCACGAATGTTTAACTTTCAAGTGAATTAATTGAAGTTCGACATTGACACCACTGCACCCCAAATCAATGATCTAGAGGTTAAGAACGATTCTGAGTTCGATCCCCGCGTTAGTACTCGTAGATGTGTGTTGCTAATGAGTTTCGTACTGGGATGGAAAGGATTTCCAGTGCTTCTAAGTTTTCAATGGTAGCCTGACACTGATCAATAGATGATTTCAATGAAAACCAACAATCTCTACAACCCTTTAGTAATATTTTATTATCATTCTCTTCAAATGTATACATTTTATTACTTTCACTAACTTTGATTTCTCCTTTTACTTATTAACTGTAGAATGAAGCGTGTGATGTGCGAAAACAATTTTCATATGTTGGTAAGTAGGCTATACTTATTCCCAAATTTAGAATATCACATCTGCTTCGTCATATATAGAAACTATTGATTCAAGAATGACAGATATTATTCTATTGATAAAAATTAAATTTAGTCTGTATGAGGTTGTGAAAATTGTTGGACTTCATTGAAAGCACAACCATTGAAAATTTGGAAGCACTGGACGGCCGTTTTGCCCTAGTATGGGACTTCTAAGCATTACGTATTTACGGTCCCGGTGATAAGTCCCATGAATACTTGGTCCCAAGACCACTGAGCTGGGCTCCAATCAGACCACAATATTTAGTAATAGCTCTTATGTAGATGCTAACACTGTATGTTAAGAGTACAGTCCTCGAGTTTAGTGATCATGAAGCAAGTAAAAAAGTCCCACTAAGTAAAATCATCTCAAGTTGATGATCTGTGCTAATTACCATAGTATTCGGTTAGCAGACAGTAAAGGGAAAACAGAACATGACAACAAAAATGGATTTACTGACTGTCAATCTGAACCATATCGAGAGGGGCAGACTTTCTAGTTTGCATCTCCACGATAATCGTAGTCTATGGTTCGAGACCTTAGATAATGTGGCTAAACATCTTTATTCCTATATTTCATACATTCTTTCTGAAGCACACTTTTCGCACTTAACGCCCCACTACATTTTATACAAACGTCTTTCTATTCCTTCTGATATTGTTAATTTCTATTTCCGTCATTTTACCAGGAAGTATTGTAACTTAATAATACTCTCAAAACTATTACGAGTTCACCTTACTCGGTAAACGGAACGAATAACAATGACTAAGTGACACGATAGGCTATTCTAATCCGTTTTCCCGTGCCCTATTAGCAAAAGCAAGAGGTCTTGATAAGGCGTAGAGAATGTATTCTACAAGCACCCAGAAAATACGAGGTTGATTACACAACGGGTTAAGATAACTCGCTTCTTTATGAAAATCAAATATGAAGAGTAAATCTAAAATCACAACTGAAAATTTAAGTGGAACATTACTGTTGGCTGTTTGGTTGATGACTTTGAAAGTGACTGATTGCCCTCGTAGGTTTTATTGTCCACAACTACTTTTGTTTTCACATTGAATATTTTGTCACTTTGATATTTATTTTAGCTGTAGCTTTATCAATCAACACAAAGATTTTGATACTTAGTGCTAATGATACTGTAGTGAAGGAGAACTCAGGTGAGGGCAACCGAATTGTATTTAACGAAAATTACAGAGTTACTCAGTAAAATAGGAAAACCATATCGTAAATTGTTCATTTGCAAAATATCAGTTCATTCTAGCGAACTGGACTGTTCCTGTTGCCAAACATCAATCCATTGTCACTATTCATGCGTTTCATACAAATTCCATGTGTTCCCACTCTTCCTTTCTTGATCTTCTACCATCTCCCGCTGCCAGACATTACGTTGACGCTCACGTCATACACTACTTATAAGTAGCTCGCACCACAATACTACTCATGAATATTTTTTGTTGATCGATAGTTAACAAAAAAGTAAATGTAAATCTCAAATCGATGTAATAGTCAATTAATTAGTAATCACAACAGTCATTATTATCAACTAAAGAACAATAATATGATATATAAACCATAGTTGTTTGCATTAATTTCTGTTTAAACTGTTTATTTCAGCTAATATTCCACAAGTTTAAAATATGGGAATCTGTAAAACGGGATTCGAAAAAAAATCAAACTGAATCACTGTCCTTATTTTGCCTTCCATCAAAAAAATTGAAAAAATAATCAGGAAAAACTCACCAATTGTAATAGAGAAAACTTTCATTTGTTTGTTTTCTTTGATTAATTTTAAACAAAAAATAAGACTTGTTTCTATTTGTATTTATAATTAATTATCTATTAACTCTATTAGATTATTCTTTTTTGTACAGAATATCATTTTATCAATATTCATAGTGTGTATATCAATAACTTATTGAATAAGAATATTGAACATAACAATATATATTCGTTATTAAAAGCGATGATACATGTGTTTTGTCTTTCCTGTTTATCATTCACCATTGAAGATAAAAAAAATTTATGAATTCGATTTTATTACTCTGACAAAGATACACATAAATTTTACTTACAGATACAAAATGTCAGGTGATATAGAGCTCCACTAATAATCGTAACCTACGGTTAAAGAACTCAATCACCTCAAAATCGGTGTCAGTGGCAGTCTCATTCACTTTTTATCATCCAAACTGTATTCAGCTTAGATTCAGTGCATAAATTTCATTTATAGGAGTCATCTGTAAAATAACTATTAATAGTGTAGAAGCTTTATTCTGTGTACAAGTGAACGTCTAACTTAATCCCTTAATAATGTATTTGTTTGTCCGTTTATCTGTCTATTGATTCTCATGTTTGGCTTATGCTTCCAGATTTATAGATATACTAAAACATTCAATGCCATATATCTTCCCACTTGACACTTCATTTTACCTGACCCGATAAATATTGGATCAGCTATTCAAGTCATTTAAGATTGCAAAGTAATCACAGTGCTATCGAAGTCATGTCAACAGCATCATAAAAGCCACAATGACTAGCTATTCACAGTGGCGTTAACTTAGAAATATTATGTTTTAATTCTGGATTAACTGGGCTTTCATCCAAAGACCTATGAAACTGTCATGCTTTTTGCAATCATGTTTGTATTTTTAAACAGTCTAACATCTTATCATATTTGATATCATTCATTTTAACTGTAGTACTGCCAGTGTTTTCCTGTATTGTGACCACTGAATTACATATGTAGACAGACAGACAGATACAACACAGAGCTTCGTACATAAGTACATAGTTCACGTTGCCATACCACGTCAGCACAGAGACGCAACTGTCAGTTCAAATCCAAGAGTGATAGCGATAGTAGAATTATTAGCAGCAATGGAGAAGATTAATGAGCAAAGATATGATTAAAAAAGTGTAATTCAGTGAGATAAATTTAGAAGGAGAAAGGTAGAGATTATGGGGAATTCAGGTTAGAATTAGAGAGAACACAAACAGCGGATGCACCTGCGCCATTGCAAACGATTCTGAGCCATGTCGTTCAAGGTCTCTAACCATTGGTGACTTTCGTCTCGCAGACCCCAACCAGATAGCCTACATCTACCAACATGACTCAGTCCACTTATCAGTGACTTCATGGATTTTTGCCATGTTTTGGTTTGGCCGCCCCTAGCTCTCTTCCAACCTACTCCTTCACCACAAAACAGTTCGTCGCGGCAGTCGGTGGTTAACCATACGTAACACATGTCGAATTATATGTATATATATATATATATATATATATATATATATATATATCCTTTGTTCTCGCTACCAAGGTTATAATGATTAGTTGCAAGTATATATGTTTATGAACTGAAGCCAGATAAACATAAAGTAGCAGTAGATTAGTATTAATAAACAATATTCATCCTTTTCTGTTATATTTCTTTATTTCATGTTTATTTGAAACCGATAAAAGTATGTAAAAATTAACTGTATGTTAAAAAGCGTTTACTGAATGAGATACGCATATTTTCCTGAGTGTGTGTAGTAGTGCAAAAAAATAACACTTTTATTCTATACAACCAGAATAAGTGATTACAAGTAAACATAGCAACATCTAAGGTAATCAGTAAACTAATAACATTATTTTTACCCTCACCTACTAACGAATCAGATGAATAGAAAGTTAAATTGAAATCAGGAACCGATCTAAGTTAGACAGCTATTGAAAACCTGAAAGCACTGAACGGATATTTCGTCCTAATATGGGACCTTTCAGAAATGAGTGTCCATGACCACATGAGGGAATCGAACCCAGAACACTCCTTTTAGTGCACGAATGCTTAAACTCTAGATCAATGAGTTAGGGCCTAACGGTGTTAACGTCTAACTCCAATCAATCCATAACATCAAACGACCATCTTCCATTGTCTTCAGTAGGTAACTACCTCCACTGGTCACGGCTTCTCACCAGAAAGTTTGGCCGAAATAAACTTTAAGTCAATGGATAAATCAGCGATAAACTATCATATTTGCAGAACCTATGGTCTCGACAAAGTATTTCTATTTGGCTGCTAAAATTATTCTAACTGTAAGAGCTTCCCCCTCCAGATAACATCTTCATTGTCATCACAAAAGCTAATTGGACAACATATAGAAAGAAACAGCAAGAAATTGTCTATTAGTTATATCACGAAGGAAAATAAAGAATTTAATGAACCACTCGAGAAATACAGTATATATATTAACATTAATACGAATATCATTTGCATTCAACTTCCAACCACTAGATCAAGCGTCTACATTCCTCCCTCTGCAGTTGCTATCATTTAAACAATTTGGTAGAATCACTGATCGATACCAAAAGGTAATCTGTGATCTTTCGGTTGAATAAAATCGTACCCCCTCTAAAGTTCCTGAATGGAATGCAAAAAGTTATGTGTGGGTGACACACAAGAATTCTCTTCTAAATTTTAAATGTCAACATATTTTTAACTAGAAGATAAAACTACGAGATGTGGTGAAACAAGTTAGAAATATCTACAAAGTAGAAAATCCACTTTTCAGCACGTGGCAAGGAAAATATTAATGTGCTTTTAATTAGAGATGGACTGTTAATCTATTGCGGATAATATTGACTTTAAAATTTTGCCGAAAGCTGATCTTCCATCTGGTCTTAGATAACTCAATGGATGACTAGGACACTAGCTTTAGCCACAGTGATTACAGCACGCATGACAAGTCACTGCTATGTATTTGTATCAAGACTAGTGATACCTGTAGAATCAGAAACAGGAATTCCCACAAACAATATTGAACAAATGCAAGATAGACCAAAAATCTATTTACGACTATAAAATGGCTTTAAGAAAATAATTTCAAGGGATCATAAAGATCAATATTTATTCTACAATTGGTTGCATCATCAAGAGGATCTAAGCATATATCCTAAATTTTAATATATTTTCAAAAACAAACGAAACTTTTAACCATGTTCTGATTAGATATAGTCAGTCAAGTGTCATATGCTCCAATAACTTACATGAGACTAGTACTGACTGGTTATCCACATATCCAACTCAATTTGAATTAAGACCAGTTTTATCTTACATCACTCTCCAGCTATGTGAAGGATATTGATTAAACCTCAAATTAAAAATAAAATCTAATATGTTATTAGTTATAAAACTAAACAGTCAAGATGATCATGAAATCAAAGTTAGTCATAGACAACGTAAGACCCGGTACAATTATGCCTGGGCTCATGGATGAAACAGCTAGAATCCAAGATTAATACGTACCCCCATGTTAATCTCAAGCCCCCAAATGCCCTGGTGCGGCCGAAAGTGGGGAAATCCTGTTTCCGCTATAGATGCTCTAATATGTTATGCGTATATAACCAATGTCAGGAAAGTCTTACTAACTGCCTTGTGGAGGGGGTGTTGTTTACAAAACTGAAAGGACGAAAAGAATGTCCGGCGATTCGACCGGATTGGTTGGTGCAGAGGATCCACCTAGGGACTACCTCTGACTCCAAACCAATGGTGTACATGAGCTTCAGTATCCTGATGGAATGAATGGCGCGTGGACCCACTGTTGCTCACCGGATACCATTAAATTGCAACTCTCGACGTCGCTCATCTTGGAAACCAGGCATCTTACCCAGAGGCTCGGGGAGTGACCCTTTAAGGAAACCAATCGTTTCAGCTTGGGCACCCAGGCAGTATCATAGCCCACACAAACTAAGTAACGACTATTACTAGGAAAACTATCCACGCTTTAATCCTCATTTTCGCAAATAATGCCCTCAACTGTTTGTTCAAATTTGTTTTCATTTTTCATTGCGTCAAAACTATCGGCATAGTCATTACCGATGTGCTACCTGGCGTCCTCTCCCTACACCTCAAGCTTGAACTAAGATCGGTCATATCGCGATTAGCTGCTGATGTCGTGGTTGTGTACAAGACGTCCTTTCTTTTTGGAGTACTTATCTGGACTCAGATCATCCCCTTTTTGCGCTATTCTTACGTTTCAATGACCAGCAAATTCATCGTCATAAATGGATCGATGCTAATAAATTGGCTGTAGCTATTGTTGCAACTAAATATCAAACCGAGCTAGGTTCAGCAGAGGGTAGAAATGAGCACTGGCTGCAATTGCACGACACCACGAAAATGGGGACTAAAATCGCTTGCGGCTTCACGAAGCGTCACACTTTTAAGCACTGAGTTTCTACAGGTTACTTACAACTCGTTGAGGAACGTCGGTCTACTCCAAGTAGTCACCGCTTTGAAGATAATGGAATACAGTTAAGTAATCAAATAGAGCAGAGCTTGCGCAACGATCTAGAAACTAGATGATCGAAGCGTGCTAAAAAGTTCGAGGTGGCGGCTGCCATCTCTCTGTGCTAATACAACATAGCGGCTTGGACTGACGTACGTATGTACCAAGTTTTACGTTGTAGCAGACTGGCTGACGAAGGATTAAATTAGTACGAAAATGATAAACAATGTAATATTTTGGTTTTGTTTTCAACAATGTGCTTCATGAAAAATTTATAAGTTGATTGCTTTGTATTGCAAACGCAGATATTGCGAAAAATTGGAGGTAAAATGCAGCACTTTAGGAGTTATAATCATTTATAAAATTGTACACCGGATGACAAATCACACTTATACTGAGCTGTTGAGCGCTACTGTTGTTTGGAAGATTTACCATGCCGAAGATTTTTAAAGACAGTTATTCGACTGCGGACATCACGATCCCCGACACTTTCAGTATTGCTTGAACTTTGACGAGATGCTTCTACACGACTCCCTAATAAATCTGGATGAATAAGTATGTCGTCCATATCCATCCGTAAACTGTGAGCCTGTAAAATAGAACAAGAAATCATAGTACCGCAATTCATAGAAGTGAGTTATAATCAGCAAAGACTAAATACTAGAATAGGTAAATAACGGATCCATGGGTATAAGGCTGGAAAAGCCCCGAATATCAACAGTTTCACTAGCATATTCCAAAAATATTTACTGAAAATAACGTCCACCTAAATATAACACACTAGCAAACGAACTAGAGATAGTTAAATAGAGCACTTTAGTAAGGAAAAAGTATTTTCAAGTTGGCTGAATTAGTATATAAGCTACCCTGCCTTTGGCTGCAGAAAAATGCAAACTGAGTGCTAAAGTATTGCGACCTACATAGCTATTTACATACATGAACCTTTTACCTACTCTACGAAGCAGCTAGTAAGTTTACGAACTGGAATGTCTTTCGTTAATACTGCAGTAGAGTGCACCTTAAGTAGATTAAACGGTTTGGAGTGCCCAAAAAAATAAAAATACATTAAGATTATGGTATATCTAAACGGATTTTAACTACATTATAAATATTGAATACATTGTGACCTGAAAATCATATATTGACCAGGCAAACCACATGAAGCATAGCCGAGAGGTTTATTTGAATTCACTATACAACAAACAATGGAGTATATCAAGTCATAGATCTCTCAATGTCTTTTGTAATTGCTACTGGTAAACGTACGTCTGATTTCGCCATTTGGCCCCGCAATGCCTCTTTGATAGACAAAGATGCCTCTAAGATCTCCTTTTGATGTAACTCTGATTCACGTCGCCGATCATTGACCATCTTTATTTCATTGGCTATATGAGCCAAAACAGCCTCCACTCGAATGCCCCATGCGTCCAGCTTTTGATGCAGTTCACCTATCTGCTAAGTGGTGAAATACAATATTATTTTACCTGTTCAATACGTATATCACGTCCAATAGCAGAGCTGACCTCCAACAATGCTTTCTGTTGGTCAAGCTTGCCTGTTACAGCCTCAAGATAAAAGAGTTCTATGACGAGGTCTTCAAGGTCTCTTGAAGATGTAATACCAAGCTTCTTATACAAAAGATCATACGGTATATATTTCTGGTTGTGAGCTTCGTCAATTATAGATAGCTGCTTTAGCTTCCGAACTTGAGTTGGTCGCAAGTCAGGATACGCAGATCGGTTATTAGATAATGTTTCAAACGTTCCGTAGCAAAATAGGTTCAGCAAATTATAATACTGAGAATATTCTCCATTCTCGATCGATTTAATTTTCGGATGATCAAGAAACTCGCCGAAGACGAACAAACCTCAAGAAAACAAAAGCATATTTTCAACCAGAAGTCAAACCTGGACATTCGGTGATAGACTGAATAAGGTCTGGAAGTTTAGATACGTCTGTACTCGATAACTGACTTAGGAACGCGTCTATCTTATCCGAAGACATAGGATGCCGACCTTGAAGGTCAGAATGTGCACACTAACCTTAAAATGGTAAACAACCAATCTACAATTTTTTCTAAGTAAACGAACTATATTAAACATTATGATTTGCCGTACTTCAAAGATCCATTTTCGTTTCTAATTTTTTATTAGCTACAGGCGCTGCATAATTTAGTAGTAAATTATATGCTGTCATGTAAACGTTCTTTGCGACCACATCTTTTACTTTCTGTGAAGCACCTCGTATATGACCACATTTTAATTAAATAACTTTGTTTACTACTGTCGATTGTAAACAAACAAGAAAGTGGTTGATGACATACTACTTCTGTAGTTCAACTAAATATCACTCACATCATCCACATTTCTGCTTCATTGACGACTCGTGATAAAATACTACGACGGTAGAACTGAAGAGTCAATAAAATGCCACATGGCTCTAGTTTAACCATACCACATGAAGTTCAATGAAATCGTGATATTTTGCGGACCCTCATCAAGGTAAACTTACATCAAACGATTGCATGCCTTGGACAGGCTTATGAGGTCGTGGTTCCATGTTCTGCCACATAATTGTTTGTACTGATATATACTGTTGTCTATCTAGAGTACTTATTTCAAGCCACTTGCCTGACTATGAGGGCAGCCTATCCCAGTTTAAGTATTGCCCACGAGAAATGACCTCGATATGAGCTAAGGAGTCACATCATTCTGTCTGTACCGATTGTACAGGGTGTTAGACAACCTAATAGAGTGTATTTGTAGATTTTACTTGGAAAGAACCTACGAATATCATTCATTCGACAAACAACTTTGTGTTAAATATTGTTTTTTTACCGTTTTCTCGTTTGTATGCAGTCGTTTCAGCTAATTGCATGAATATCTGTTTTAGTATGATATTCTCTCTATGTATTCTCACATATTCATCAAGTTCTATTACTGGACCACTACAATTACCACACGATTTATAGGAAGATAACGGGAATAAGTCGAATTGTTTTGGTCTGTGTTTATAAAAAAATGTCAGAAACACCGTTGATCACTTTGAACCTTGTTGAAACCTTTTAACTATATCCACTTGATATGTGAAACAAACCCCGATGATTGCATCCCTAATAAGCACACTCACACGTTCGATGTCAAGTCTCTAATACCTCAAAATCGCTTGCCGATTAAATAAGGATTTTCTTAAGAAAAGTAGCAGGATTCCATAACTTACCTGGACTAAAAAATCTGTGCTTCTACCCCTAACGGGCATGAGTTTTTGGTGATGACGGAGTCGAGATTGCCTATGATCACCACTAAATATTCATTACTATCCCATCACAAATTATAGAAATAAATCCAGGGTTCAATATTTATTTGAAGGAGAAAGTAGACGTTACATAGAGCTGCGATTTATGAAAGATGGCAGCAACGCTAAAAAGAACCTTACGCGCAGGTAAACGTTTTCGGTACAGTTAAACGAAACGAGTACAATAATAAATGCCTCCACTTCATCAATTAAGTTCTCTTCATAGAAGAATCCACTACAGCAGCCCATAGTAGAAAGGGTTCGTACTTTCGACACGTTGTGGCTTAGTTCGGGGGGGGGGCTGGTTGGTCAACGTGTGACTGTAGGGTGGAAGTGTTGACGAACACGAAGCTACCGATGAAACTCGAGTTGTCACCAAAAGTCTTCTACGTTGAACTGCACCGGTAGTAACGTGCTAGGTTCGCTGATCGAGTTGACGTGCCACACCAGCGTGGCTCGTATCCAGAGTCTAAAGATTGCCTTCGTAGGGGTTCGGACCAGAAAACGCCACAGACGTAGGACGGAACCATACGCGTGCCAGACATATTCGGAACCAGTCATCGACTGAGTGCATTGACGAGAGCGTGGGTGACCAGACAGCTTTCATCGAGATTGTCTGAAGTCAACAGTGCCAACAGGGCGATGGTCGGAAACGTGGGCTCAGGATACAAAATGAAAGTTCACACCGAGGGCAATGTTCGCATCTACGCAGATAGTTGTTGAACGTTATCCGATACAAAACAACGCTGCTCTGTGGTGTGAAAACTTCGCCGGGCAGATGCAATGTCGTGCCGTATACAAGTTCAAAAGCGGAACATTGCATATCTGCCGTTGCTGCTCTGTAATCGCCGTGTCGTCTCCAACTAATGCCATCTCCTTTTGCGAAGAGAGAGAAAGCTCAAAGACTGTGAGAAAGACGAAGTAGTACATATAGCAAGTAAACTGTCATACTCACGCTTAGCGAAAACTGATTTGTTCAGTTCCAGTCGGCGAGGTTTTGCCCTGACTGGGGGGCTGCAGGTGACCATGTGGCTTAGTACATAATTAATCACCAGTTGAATCTCCTCGCTTTCGTTACTTTGGGGAATTTATCGAATATAATATGAAATAAATAATAATGCAAAAAAATACATTAGTGACTCGTTAAATATCTGCCCATGGATATGATATTCGACGAAGTATCGATTAAATACAGCCTATGTTGATCAAATGGCGATTCATGGAGCTGTATGGAATCGATACCGAGTACGGCTATGAGAACATATAAGCAAGGATGAACGTCCATAGGTACTGTCATGGACTATTCAGGTTGGTCGTTAGCTGTCGTATATCGTAGGTAGGAATGACTTACGCCAATTGCAGCACGTGGTCGAAGCATCGTAGCTGGTGACTCACTGCTATCAGACGATACAACAGAAACTTGGGCATTTGTGGCCACCAAGTACGTAGCGTTAGTGCAAAACTCGTGCACGTAAAATAAACGAGCAACATGAGCTGCACCTCGGTGTCTATTATTATAGCTATCCACCATTTCCAAACGTTTCGCAAGTATAATTTATGCTAAAGGACATTGATAATGGTATTGCAACCTGATAAAAAAGATGCATAATAGACTCACCATAACTGACTTTTCTGACGAAACGTCAGCTCATCAATTTTATTGGTGATCGAGTCGAGATCGACTATGATCACCACTAAATACTAATTACTAGCCCGTCATTATGAGTGATAAATAAATCCAGGGTAAGGAAATTATATGAACAAGAAAATGGGCGACATAAAGAGCAGCACGTAACGAAGATGACAGCGCAAGCAGGTGTTCTTAGTACAGTTAAACAAAAGGAGTACAATAAAACAATTATCGTTAAAATTGAGTACAATAATAAATGTTTCTATTTCACCAATTGAGTTCTCTTCGTAGCAACATTCCACTACAAACTTTTGGCGGGTACTTTGACTAGGTGAATTTGACCCAAACCTTGCTGAAGCTGACTTCACATATTCGATTTATGACACAGACAAGGAAAAGTGGGTACGGGGAAGTCTGGGGAATAAGTGAGCATGACTGTAGACTGTTAGAACCTATCATAATCGATAGTAATGAAAATAGACGATAAGTTATAGTCACATGATTCAACTGTGAACAAGGAAAAGGTTTGTTAGGTATACTAGATAACTTTAAATTCAGAAAGTCAGATGCCATCAAAATAGCAGAATTTGTTTGTGTTTGTACGAAGACTGTTTTGTGCTTAAATCGTAACAATAGAAATATGTATGTTCGTAGTCGATGTGTGTAAACTTAGTTCAATAACCGTACAATTTTCTTGCTGTAACATCGGTCTTTCGTGTTAGTGTTTACGTATTTAAAATATCTTTTGCCTCAAATCTTGGTGACGGATTATCTACCTACAGTATCTATCGTTCCTAGCTTCTTAAAAACTTTGAGAACTGATTAAAGGCTATCATTTTCGATCCCCTTTATTATTAATTGCCACAACTCAGCGCTACTAGTACCCGTACTATAAGTTGAATATTGAACATCAGTTAGATCCCGAAAATAAATAGTCCTGTGAGTCAATGACTTCTAAGCCGATATTATTAATTGTGCTGGACACACCGTGGTTAAAGGCTCTGTGTCACTCATCTGCACTACAGTGCCATTTGATACTCCCTGCAATGTATCTTTCGTAACAAGTAGTCAAGTTAACATATATAATTAATCGCAAATCGACTACCCCTCGAATACAGTTCCGAATTATTTTAGTCCTGACTTCCGCTCTGACTGGGTCTGGGACCCTCGATTATGAAGATACTATGGTCTAAGAAATGTCAAGAAGGCACTATTGCAGCCAGATCTTGGGTTAGATCAACACTGCTGGATTTTCTAATCGTTAGATTCATTATCAATTCACATTCAATCAACAAAAATATATGGTGTTCGTAAAATGAATAATCTAAAACAAGTTTAGGACTGAAAAAAAGTTTCATCCCAAACTCACTGTAAGTGTCTGTCACATTGTATTTGCTGTTTTTTAGGAAGGGATGGTTCATAGTTTGAAACGTAGCAAAATGTTTTGTGAAGAAACGGGACGAAGGATTAGATACAGACAACTAGTCAGTCCTTGTATACGTTAACTGGCAACTCACTTGTTCTTACATCCATTGATCGATATTTGCTCTAGTAGTCAATAGTTTGTGAAACCTACTTCACTGAAGCATGGAAATACTACTTACGCTTGTTAATGAATCACAGCAGTTGACCATTAATATAACAAATCGGTTATCTGCACAGATCAAGCTAGTAAGTTGACAAAACATGCGAGTAATTACCAATCGAACAAGCGGATAATGAGTTAATATGAGTGAAACCAAATGGATTAAGTTATGGTACATATGAGAGCCAATAACAGGTCGGGTTTCTTTATGTGTAGGTTGGTTTAAGTGCACCACTCTACTCCACAAGAATAATTCATTCCCATAATTAAAGTCTTGCAACTATATGGCTGACCAATTCAAACAGTCTTGCGTTTAAGTCACATTACTGGCAATATTAGCCCCTCCTAGAGCTCCTGAATACAATAGTTGAGTCGGAGACAGAATGATTTTTTTTAATGAAGGGCAAGAGGTCAGACAAAATGACCGCGCCTGCATAATGAGGCCATGCTATCCTAATTAAGTAGTCCTGCGTCCACTGTTCTTGCACCGATGTA